GGCACAGCATGATGCAGCACAACATGGCATGGCACAGCACGGTGTAGCACAGCATGGTACAGCACAGCACAACATGGCATGGCACAGCATGGTGTAGACAGCATGGCACAGCACGGCGCAGCACGGTGCAGCACAGCATGGCATGGCACAGCACGGCGCAGTGGAGCACATGGTGCAGCACAGCATGGCACTGCATGGTTAGCACAACACAGAAGTGGGTGCCACAACTCTGTGACGTTCAGGGGCAGGACACCATCCCCACCTCCTGCCCTACGGGTTCCCTGCACCCTTGCTCAGCCAACTGAAGGCACAGAGGGGCAAAGCCCTGTGCAGGGCAGCAGCTGTGGTCCACTGCAGGACCCACCCGAGGCTCACCTGGCTTTGCTGCTGCTGGCGCTGCTTCTTCTTCTGGGCACTGCCAGTGGCAAAGAGGGGCCCGGGCAGGCAGCTGACAACAGCGGGCATGCCAGTGCTGCAGGCTGCCGAGGAGTTGCCCCGGTAGAACTGGAACGTGCACATGGAGATGTGCACCTCTGTCCCTGTACAGGACACCGAGTGCAGGCGGTAGTTGAGCTGCTGCCGCTCTGCAAACAGCCTGCAAGGAGAGAGCAGAGCCTGAGGCGCAGCCAGCAGAGCAGAGGTGTCACCTGCCTGCAGCTGTACTGTCCCTGGGTGCCCACCCCTGCCTGCTCCATGCTCACGTCCCAGCAGCGCAGGGGCGCACACAGCCTCAGCAGTGCTGAGCTGGGATCCTGGCACTCAGGCTCTCCGCTGGAGCCATTTACCTCTTCCTGGACCCTAAGTCCTCCCTGCGCTTTTTAGGCTGAGATTTGGAGGCCAGCCTGGAAAACAGAAAACAACCGTGAAGGTGGCCCAGATCAAGCAGGCCGCTCGGGAGCCTCACGCGTTCCCCTTCACATCATGTGTGAATACAAAGCATCATCTGCTGCCAGCAATGTGACACAGCTGTCCTCCACAGCAGCGATGCAGTTTCCGGCCCACATCTCACCAGGAAACTGTGACACATGCAGCAACATCCTGTGCTGCTTTGGCAACAGCAAAAGATCAAACAGCAGTGCAACAATTTGATCTGTTGGGTGCAAGTGAGATGTGCCCCTGTCCTCATCTGGACTGCAGGCAATGTCACTGTGTGCTCCAAGGGGAGCAGCACACCCAGCGAGCTCGGCAGGAAAGAAGTGTGATGGGAGCACAGACCCTGCACAGACGCTTTGTTTTTGTCCTGCTTGGTGGGAGGGAGATGCTGAGCAGAGCTGCAGCTCCAGGGAGCAGGAGAGCAGAGCCCCAGAACGGGGCAGGGGATGGGCAGCACCCAGAGACCAGGGGCCAGGCACAGCCAGCCCCATGGCAGCTCTGTGTCAGCCTGCATGGCCCCAGGGCACTGCGCAGGCAGCCAGGAACCTGAGGCACAAGAACAGCCAGAGGACATCAGCTCCCATCAGCACTTATGGGACCACAACTGGATCCTGTGCCTCCACACAGAAGGACATCTGCAGAGGGCGCAGGGACAGACGGGGCTGGGAGAGGTGGGTGCAGTACTGCTGTGAGGAGGAATAACCAGAGGACAGTTTGGTGCTCGGGCAGTGCTGAACCTGCACTGACACGGGGCTGCCAGGGAGCTCTGCAGAGCTGACAGAGGTGCAAAAGAGGAAGCGGGCGTAATTTGCAAGAAAAGGGTCGTATTGGATGCAAGGTGAACATTTTCCCAGTGAGGGTCATTCAGCACTGCAGCAGAGGACTGTGAGATCTCTGTCCTCAGAGGCTTTCAGAAGCCAAATGTATAAAGACCTGAGTGCTGTGGGAGAGGATGGACCAGAACCCTGAGCCCCCTTCCAGCTGGGATTACCCTGTGGCCCCGCAGCCTGAGATCAGCCCAAAGCTGCTCCTGTGCCAGGCACAGTGCACTCCGCCCACACGGGAAATGCCCACACAACAGGCACCAACCACCCAGACAAAGGAAAAAGAGCAAAGTGCAGCAAAGGACATTGATGAGAGCTTGAGGAGATGCTGCAGTCTGACCCCCCTGGATTTCCATCAACAGAGCAGGCAGAGCTGCAGGAGCTGCACTGGTGACACAGAGCTGGACAGCATCACAGCAAAGGGCCCAGGATTGGGGCAGAGTGCCTTTGGCACCACAGGAAGTGGTGAGACCAGGGTGAAGCTGTTTGCTGGGGGCAGAGCAGCTGCTCCACGTGCTGCTGGGGTTAAGCAGGAGGTGCCACACATTGCCCAGGCTGTGGCTGCAGCCTGCATCTCTGCCTCCACCACCAAGTCTGGCAGCAGCAGTGCAGGGTCAGAGGGAAAGAGCAGCTAGGCCTTCCCTGGGGTCATGCAGGATGGCAGCAAAACGATGGTGAAAGAGATCCCAGGTGGATGCAGATCTTGGGACAAGGGCTGCCACACTGTGCCTGCACTACCAGCATTGCTGAGCAAGCTCCTCATCCATGCGAGCTCAGGCAAATGGGAGGTACACGGCCTTTCCAGCTTCCCCACTGCAGAGATAGCTCCTTCCCAAGGCCTCCTTGTCCCCATAGGGCATAGCACAGGGTGCTCCAGGCCTCACTATGCCTTCCACTCAGACCCTGCATCTCCAGAACCTGCCCAGTGCATGGGATGAGGCTGCTCTGCCTGGGGAATGACCGGCCTGGGAAAAGAGCATCTCTTCAGGGGGACAAGGGACCACGTGTACCAGAGAGGTCCCACCAGGATGGACTCATCCCGCTCAGCACAGCCCAGGCCCTCAATCTGTTCCAAGCAGATCCACATTTGTAGGATCCACTCAGACAGCAGAGAACGGTGGGGCAGGACAGCCCAGCTCTGCCCAGGGCACAGCAAGGCTCAATCCCAGCCCCTTACCTCCTGCCCGGCCTCGTGCTCCGGCCCCTCGTCCTGGCTGCACGCTTCAGCTGCCTGCAGGGCAACACCGTGGCTGCACCGTCAGCAATGCACACAGCACTGACCCACGCTGTGGGCAGCACAGCCACAGCCACACACTGCGCAGCACACCCACAGCTGTGCCCAGGGCAGCCCACTCATGGCCAAACCCCAGGACAATGCGCAGCGGTGCTGCGGCAGCGACCCTGCCCAGCTCAGCACAAACCACCCCTCAGCACAGGGTTCCCCACACTTCCCACCAGAGGGAAACATGGGGATGCATGACTGCCAGAGACCAAACCCAGCCATCTTGGGCAGAGATGTACAGGGAAGACCAACAGCCGTAACTCCCAGCTGTGCCATGGCCCCCAGCTGGGTTAGCAGTGCACACATGCCCTGTGGGACCTGGGCAGGCCGGGGGGATGCTGAACAGCACAGCCTGCTGTGCCCCAGGAGCGCTCCTGCATCCCCGGTCCCACAGGCTCCCAGCCCGCCCCACTTACTTGTAGAAGTTCCTGTTCACCTTCTTCTCGGTGGGGAAGCCCATCATGCCGCAGATGACGCGGCTGTTCTTGCTGTCCCAGCCCTCATCACAGATCTGTGCCCAGCCATCCTTGTAGCGCACCTCCACGATGCCCTCTGTCACTGGCAGCCGCCGCTGGGCCCCCGACACCACGGCACGCAGACGGACCTCCTCCACGTGGCTCTGCTCCGTCTGCAAGGCATGTCAGCCCCAGCAGCTGGCACCCGGCGCCCAGCACTCTGCCAGCCCCTCCCCAGGGTGTCCCACAGAAGAGGTCCTCCATCCCTGGGGAGGAGCAGGAACAGGCAGGTCCCACAGCCCTGCAGGAAACCTCCAGTGGCACTGAGAAGCCGAGTGCTCAACTCCATCCCACGCAACCCTGGTTACAGGGTGCATCTCTGGGAGCGCAGCAGGACACGGCTGTCATCCCTTCGCTGCAGGGCAGGCCATCTGCAGCCCCCTCACCTCGATGACATTGGAGTCTTTGAAGCCTGGGATGCGCTCATCCTTGCAGATGACGCCCGCATCCTCCTCGTGGCTGCAGTCGCTGTTCCCCCAGCCGCGGTGTTTGCAGTCCCTGATGCTCTTCTCGTTCCCCGCACAGTTCACATTGTCCAACCAGATCCGCCCTGCCGCACACAGGGGATGGGGTGAGGGGGGACAGAGCCCATGCAGCAGCCCCCAGAGCAGAGGAGGTGCTGCTACACACGGCAGTGTGGGGACATGGACTGGGGCAGCACAAAACAGGGACCAGGCACACAAAAAAAGAAGGCTGGAAGGTGGAGGGAGTTTCCAGCAGACACAGAACATGAGCAGCAGGGGGACTGTATGGCACCTGGCACCTCGTCTGCGCTCAGCATGCCGCACCACTCAACGCACCCTCACAAGCACAGCCCTGCAGCCACCCGCAGCACCCAGAGAGGTGCACAGCCCCACAGTGCAGTGCACACAGCCTCCCTGAGCATGGGATGGACACACACACGAATGCACACGTAGAGGTTCCCGTTCTGCTCTGCACATACACACACATGCAGGCACACACACGTGCACATTCATGCTGCAGGCACTGTGCAGACAGAGCCCTGCTCGGCTCCAGCGCTGCATGTGCAGACCCACGGCCTGGTGACCCCCATCTTACCAACTCCTTTGCCATACTTGGCGCTGTGGGCCCAGCCGGTGGCCCCCACAAAGCCGAGCTGCCGGCACAGCACCTGCGCGTTGGCCAGCGTGAAGTCATCGTCGCAGATGGTGCCCCACTCCTCATTGTAGAACACCTCAATCCGGCCCTCGTTGTGCTTGCGGGGATACCCAGCCAGACGGAACTTCAGCGGCGGCACGGAGCTGTGCGTGGGGCTGGGGGGGGTGGGCTGCGCGCCGCTGCCCCACATGCACAGCCCGCCCAGCAGCACCAGCAGCTCCTGCCAGGCCCTCGCGCCGCAGCGTCCCATGGCCCTGCGGGGAAACGGCATCAGGGTGTGCGGGAGAGCCGCGCCGCGCTGAAACAGCCGCTCAGCATGCGGCTCTGCTCATTGCCAGCACACCTGCGCGGCCCCAGCCAGGGCCAGCCCTGCCGTCGCCCGCCCGCTGCCCCAGAGCTGCTGCTGAGCAGCGCCGCCCGGTGCCCCCCGCGCCTCATCCCCTGAACGCGGCCGCTGCTACCGAAACCGCGCTGTCGGACCGCACCGAGGGACGGCGATGGCAGCAGCGCCCAACAGCCCGCGTCACCCAGAGGAGAGGCAGCGGGAAAAGGAGGAGGAGCTGGAACAGGAGCCGGGCAGCCCAAGGGGCTCGGAGCACCGCGAGCCCTGCAGCCCGGACGGAGCTGCCGGTGGCGAAGAGCTGCCAAGCCGCGCTCCCACCCGCTGTCAGCAGCGCAGCAACCGGAGCGCGCTGCATTTCACCTGGGAGGCGTTTTCTTCAGCCTTTCAGTAATGGCTGGGCTCCTCAGATACCCGCGGGAGATGGCGGCATTTCTGCATCGGCCCCGGCGACAAACAGCGCTGCCGGCATTTCTCTGTGCACCACCGGAGCGCGCCCCGTCCGCCCGCCCGGCTCCGGGATCAACTCAGCCCCGCGCAGCGCCGCACGGGCGGCCCCAGCCCCGCTCCGGCCCCGGGCGCTCCGCAGCTCAGCCGTCGCGGCGGGCCGACGCCAATCCCTGCAGGGCGCTCACATCAGCTCCGGCCCCGCCGTCCTCTGTCACGGCCCGGGCCGTGGGGGACGCACTGCGCTGACGGGGACGGCGCCGGGCGGGGGCAGAACCCCGTGAGCCCCGGGCTTGGCGGTGCTGCCCGCTCTGGTACTGCGAGAACAAAGCGCGGCCCAGCGGGAAGCGACTTTGCGGACAGGCAGCAGGGAAATGCTTTGCTGAACCTTTTAATCGGCCTTAAGGCAGGAGGGCAGAGCCGAGGGCCGGCCCGGCCCGCTCGGGGAAGGCGCCGGGGTTTGCCGGGGGCGGGCGGGGAGGGGACGCGTTTCTTATTTTGCCCACGGGTCAAGGGGACGCCCCGACCCTCCCGAGTAAAGCAATGTAAATCTGCAGAACTGCACCGCATGCATGCACGTGCCGACCAAAAAGTGCCCATTTCAGCATGCCCGGTCGAGGCGGCGCACGCTGAATGCACGGAGACCAAAACCTCACCTGCGTATGCAATGAACGAGAGGCGAGCTCTGCTGCGGCTGACTGCAGGCTGCTTTGCAACGGGGCCAACACGACACTGAAGGGCAGCAGTATAGTTAACGCCAATCTCTACAATTCTTCAGAAATGGCCCATGTCACAAAGCTGCTGCGACCCTTTATGAGATCACAGGTCTGGTTAATTGGAGTAACTGTGTTGATATAACAGGCAGAGACTGGAAGGCATTTGATTCATCCTGCGTGACCTTTTAATGAATAATTAGCACTCAACAAAATCAGTGCACCTTCCTCTAAGTGGATTAAAACCGGTCACCTGCTGGAACTAAAATGCGGCTACAGCTGGGAAGCCCCCCGTCAGTGGGGGACTGGAGGGGATCACATGCTTTTGCAAAACAAAACTTCATCTGGAAGAGGAAAGATGTTCTCTCTCAGTTCGCAAAGATGGAAATGGTGAAAGCACACAGAGCCGCAATGGACCAATGTGGGCTGATGCAGCCACATCACTGCCCTCGGCCAGAAGGGACACTGAACAGCCTTCAGTCAGGAACAAAGCATGCAGGCAGAGACCAGAACACAACGCCGGGGAAAACACCCAGTGTTTGTGTGGCCACAGAAACCACCCCATGCCCACAGTCACAGTCACTATGGGCACAGGGCTTGGTACACTGCTACGGATAGGAAAGAACCACCAGCGCATGCAGGGCTGCCAGCCCATGGCCAACAGCCCCAGCCCACACCCTGACACCACCGGTGAAGGAGGGAGCTGTGCAGCAGCGCCAGCCCACAGCAAACACCCCCAGCCACTCCCTGACACCCAGCTGGTGCTGCCCTGGGACACAACCCTGGTGTCGCCCTGCTCTGCACCCACAGCTCAGACAGCCCAGCCCTTGCATTCAGCAGCTCTGTTATTTCTTCTCTTCACAGTCCTTACTTGCTCCTGAATCTGCACAAAACCCGCCCATCTCTCTGCATGAACCCCACTCAGCCCTGCCACACATCCCGCTACCTGAGGAATGCCCTGGTGAGGTCTGTGCAGGACTGCAGCACCTCTCACGCCGTATCCAGACTGTGGCGGCAGACAAATCCCCTTTCTGAGGGGTTGTGCAGAGCAGTCCTGCCCCCCCCCCAGCACAGTGATGGGGCTCGGACGCATCCCGTTGGGCAGAGCAGGCTGTCCTCAGCAGACACATCCGTGGAGCTGGAGAGCAGCCCTGCTCCTTGCGCCTGCCCAGGAAACCTCAGGAATGTCCCAGCCAGGTGTGCGCTGGGCCTCTGTCACCTCCTGGTGGACACGGGGCTGGGGTTGGCAGTGGGCACCTGAGAGCACCACAGACTTGGGGCACTCTGCACCCCCTGCCCCACTGCAGCGCCCCCGTGGTGCAGCACTGCTCGGTTTGCTCCCAACCAGCCCCACCACTCTGCTCTTCCCGGCGGACTGCGAGGGCTCCCATTCCCAACACCTCTGTAGGAACTGCATCCTACAGCCAGCCAGCCTGCTGCCCTCATTGCTCCACTCCCCTGGCAGAGGGGCTGCTTCCTCTGGGGCCTTGGCCGTGCCATGGGGGAGAACTAAGAGACAGTGACAATGGGGGCAGGGGCTGAGCACGGGGGATGCTGGCCCCAAGGATTGCCATCCAGCACCCACAAGTGGAACAGGCTCAAGAAGGGGCAGCTGGAGCAGATCTCCCAGCAGCTCAGTGCATTGGCTACGTGTGCACACCAGCAGCCAGGCACACATCATTTCTGCAGCGCAGGGACTCAGCAGTGCTGCGCAGGAGGCCAACAGCATGCATGGGCAGACAGAGCAAAGCAGGCCCTGATGCGTGGAAGGGCTCGGAGACGACCGACCTGGGACACCCGTCTGCAGAAGGAGGAAGCGGCTCCCTCTGTTTATCTTTCCTTGGGAGGTCAAGAGGTGACACGATCACACTCTTCCAGGGCCACGCTGGGGCATCTCTGGGAGCCAGGGGTCACATCCCCAGCAGAAGGTCTGGTGGGTCTCATGGTTCCAGGCACCAGGTTCTGCTCCCTCCCCATCTCCTGGGGCCTCAGAGCCTGGTTTCCTGCGCCAGCCCTGTCGCAATCCGGGCTGCCTGGAAGGCCTCCATCATCCTCCCACACTTCGGCAGTCCAGGGGGGCTGGAGCAGAGGTCCATGACAGCTCCTGCTCAGCCGCCTGCAGGGACCCCACGGGACAGGAGGAGCAGGGGACTCAGAGCCACAGCTAGGGCAGGGAGGAATGAGCTGAAGTGCTCCTAGGAGTGCTGGGGAGCAGCCCAGCACCACCATGGCAGCCCTGCACACTATTGGCACTCCTCACACCACCACCTCCCCGCGCAGTGAGCTGGGGGCTCCCTGTCCTTTGCTGCTCAGGAGGCAGAGTGCCAAATCCTTGCCCTAGCACTGTGTACCTCCATCCCAAGCAGTGACAAGGACAGCCTCAGCTGGGGATAGAGCCCTCTGCTGCACTTGGGGCTGCACCTTCCTTCCCCTCCAACTCTGAGCCCTCTGGACTGCCCGATGTCCCCCATTCTGCTGTCACCCTCTAAGTCAGGGCATAACAAATCTTTGCAGTTCCCAATACCACTCTGTTTCCCTGGGACACAGCAGGGCCTCCAGCTTTGCCTGCTCTACTCTGGGCTCCCCTGGGTTCCTCGGGGCAGGCAGGAAGGGGAGACCTCAGAGGAATGTGCAGTTTCTGGGGAGCAAGCAGTGAGCTGGGAGGCAGAGCTGCTGGGAGGGAGAAGTCCGGCTCTGCACAGGAGGATGGCTGGGAGGATGCAGTACCACCACCACCATCTGACCCAGGCCCCCCAGCCCTCACACCTCACATCTCTCCATCCATCCTCTCTTCCAAGAGCCACAGCAAATTCCACCTTCACTAAAATTCTGTCTTTCCTCTGCCCTTTGTAAGCCGCAGATCAGCAAACGAGCATCCTGAAGCCAGGACGCTCTCAGGGATACACGCAGCACCCTCTGACCCGCTGGATCCTCTGGGCATCCCTTCCCAGCAAGCACATGCAAAGCGCAGGCAGTCTGCGTGACATAAATCCTCTCACCCTGCCAGACACGGACGCACAACTAAAACATTACACAGTTCCCCCATCCACTGCTGCCGGCACAGCACACAAAGCGAGCTTTCTGCAGCGGACACGAGGCGCTCTCCTTACAACCACAGACGGGGAAAGTCCATCTCACCGCCCCGCGCAGACGTGCGCTGACATCCGGAGCTCTGAGGCAGTACGGACACGTCGTGCCCCGCACGCAGCCCCCGCGGCCCCATTCATTCCCCGCCGGCAGCCGAACCGCACCCCGCGTCTCACTCCGCGCTCCCGGCCGTGCCCCTCCCGCACAGCGCTCCGTGCGAGCCGCGAACCCCCACCGCGCGGCCCACAGAGCGCACCCACGCGGGACGGCCCCGCTCCGCGCCGGCGCTATCGGCGGTATCGTCTCCCGCACCCTCCCCGCGCCACAGCCCCAGCACTGCCCTGCGCTCCGGCACGGCCCGGCGCGCCCACTGCCCCCTCCCCCCCGGACCGGTCCCGCTCCGGTCCCCCCGGCAGCCCCGGCCGTACTTCTCTCGTTCCCTCGGCTACACGGCGGCGAGAGGCAGAGTCCGCCCGTCCGTCCGTCCGTCCGAGCGCTGCGGAGCCGGGCTGTGCCGGGCCGCGCTGAGCCGCTCCCTCCTCCCCGGCCCGCCCCGCGCACTGCCCGTGTCAGGGGCCGCCCCCCACCCCCCGGCCCGCACCGAGCAGCCCCGGCTCCCAGCCCGCAGCCCTCGTGGCGGGGACGTCCGGCGGGAGGGGTACGGCCGCTCCGGAACCCCGCACTCCCGAGCTGCTCCTTTCCCCCGGCGGCTCCGCTGCACGGCTGCCGCTGCCCCCGGGACGGAGCCCCTGCACGGGACCGACACCGCGGCCCTCCCCTGCAGGGTTCCCGTCTCTCTCCGCCCCAGGACCCACGGTCGTCCCGGGACCAGAACCGGCTGCAGCCGCCCCTCGGAGCCGCTCTCGGACACAGAGCAGCGCGTCCTGGCCAGGCACGGGGAGAGCAGGGACTGCCCGTGTCCCCACTGCTCCGGGTACCTCGGCCACTCTTTAGCCTCTTCCCTGCCCTATGGGTATGGGACGGCTACGGAGAGGGAGCCTCCCGTGAGCCCTTCGTCCCTCCGTCCCTCCTTCCAAACTCTTTCCCCACGACCGTGGCAGGACAGACAGACGTTCCTTCTACAGCCCTGCTGGCATGAGGAGCCCCCAGAGACCCATAACGGAGCCATTGCCACAGGAGACCCCATCCTGCAGAGGAGGTGCCGGGACCCTTTGAGGGCCATTCCTCATTGTGGTGAGGGGTCCCAGGCCGGGGAGTAGCTGGAGGCGGAGCTGTGGCTGCCATTGTAGCCGAGGTCCCGCTGTGCTGG